CATATCTGTTCTATAAGTATCTGTTCTCCACATGCTCTTCAGCTCCCTCGGGTAAAAGAGGTTATGGTCAACGGCATGCCTGTGAAAGTGAAATACTGTGAAACTTGCATGATATATCGGCCTCCTCGCTGCTCCCACTGCTCCAAATGTGATAACTGTGTCGAGCGCTTTGATCATCACTGCCCTTGGGTTGGGCAATGTATTGGAGAGGTCAGTTATGCTGATTTCTTTATTTTCTCCGAGAACAAGTTATGGATTCATTTTAAAAAAAATTATACAGCAAGGGTAAGGTTTGCTGCTAATATCCTTCCCCAGACCCCGCACAATGCGAGATGCTCTCAGCACTGGATACACCCTTTTAACTCCGTCTATGGTGGGGCGCCTTTGGTGTCCCAGTATAGCAGGTCCCAAGCCCTGATAAAGGAGGAGGGTTGTGTTAGGCGTGGCGAGCCAATATAAAAACTTAGCCACTTTAATGGAGATGAAACCAAAAAGAATCCCGTTGGGGTGTAACCCTCTTAGCGACGCGCCATGTCAGAACCCGGGTATGGTGTTAAATGAGCAAGGGCCGGGTCGTCACACCCGTGACGCGCTGTGTCACGATCTGGACATGGTGTCAAGTGAGCAAGCATCGAGTCGTCGCACACTTAGTGGCGCGCCACATCGGCGCCCGGGTGTGGTGTAAAATGGGGCAAGGGTCTTCACACCTACCTCGGCGGGTGTGAAGGGTAAGGAAGCTAGTCGAGCCAACTATGATCCGTTTAGATAGCTGGAATGTAGGGTCCCTTACAGGTAAGTTAAGAGAGTTAGTGGACACAGCGGTTAGGAGGCGTGTAAATATCTTATGCGTCCAAAAAACTAAATGGAAGAGGCAGAAGGCGAAGGAGGTGGACAATACCGGCTTCAAGCTCTGGTATACAGGGACAACTTCAAATAAAAATGGAGTAGGAGTTTTGATTGATAAGAGCCTCAAGGATGGTGTGGTGGAGGTGAGAAGGCAAGGGGATAGGATCATCTTAGTTAAACTTGTCATTAGTGATATGGTCTTAAACATAATTAGTGTGTATGCCCCCAAGTAGGCTATGATGAGAGTGCTAAGCGGCTTTTCTAGGAAGGTTTAGATCGCTTCGTTAGAGCTGTCCCTAGTAGCGAGAAGCTCTTTATAGGAGGTGATATTAATGGCCATGTAGGTACATCAAGTGCAGGTTTTGAGGCGGTTCATGGGGTTTTGGATATGGTAGTAGAAACCGGGAGGGAGAGGAAGTCTTAGACTTCGCCATAGCTTTTGATCTGAGGATAGCTAACACTTTCTTCCATAAGAGACAGTCCCATTTAGTGACCTTTAGTAGCGGCCAGTACTCCAGTCAAATTGACTTTGTCCGACTTTGTCCTTACAAGAAGGAGGGATAAACGAACATGCGTGGACTGTAAGGTGATACTTGGAGAATGTGTGGTCGCTCAACACAAGCTGGTGGTGGCTGACTACCGCTTTCTGGTGCAAGCTCGTGGGAACAAACAAGCTAGGGTTGCTAGAACGTAGTGTTGAAAATTAGAAGAGGAAGCATCAAAGGTCTTTAAGGAAAAGGTCATTGAAGAGGGCCCTTGGAATGATGAAGGCGATGCAAACAGCATATGAGAGAAGATGGCAACATGCGTTCGAAAGGTTACTTCAGAGTACTCTAGTCAAATTGACTTTGTCCTTACAAGGAGTCAAATTGACTTTGTCCTTACAATAAGGAGGGATAAACGAACATGCGTGGAATGTAAGGTGATACTTGGAGAATGTGTGGTCGCTCAACACAAGCTAGTGGTGGCTGACTTCCGCTTTCTAGTGCAAGCTCATGGGAACAAACAAGCTAGGGTTGCTAGAATGAAGTGGTGGAAATTAGAAGAGGAGGCATAAAAGGTCTTTAAGGAAAATGTCATTGAAGAGGGCCCTTGGAATGATGAAGGCGATGCAAACAACATGTGGGAGAAGATGGCAACATGCGTTCGGAAGGTTGCTTCAGAGGTGCTTGGAGTGACCAAAGGGAGCGGATACGACTCGAAAGACACTTGGTGGTGTAATGAAGATGTGCAAAAGGCTATTAAGAAAAGAAGGAGTGCTATAAGTGCTTGTATCATGACAGGTGTGCAAACAACATAGAGAAGTACAAGGTGGCAAAGAAGAATGCAAAACGAGCGGTGAGTGAGGCAAAGAGGAAGGCCTATGAGAACCTTTATCGACATTTGAGTACGAAGGAAGGAGTGAAGGACATTTATAAGATGGCTAGGGCTCGCGATAGGAAGACAAGAGACTTCAACCAAGTCAAGTGCATAAAGGATGAGAGGGAGCAGCTCTTGGTGAAGAAGGATGAGATCAAACATAGATGGCAAGAGTATTTTGATAAATTGTTCAATGGTGAGAACGAGAACACCACCGTTCAGCTGGACGACTCGATTGATGACACTAACAGGCGCTCTGTGAGGAGGATTCAAGAATCAGAGGTCAGAGAAGTCTTGAAAAGGATGAAAGGGGGCAAAGCGATGGGCCCTGATGGTATCCCAATCAAGGTGTGGAGATGTCTCGGGGATATAGCTATAGTATGGCTAACCAAGATGTTCAACAATATCTTTCGATTGAACAAGATGCCTGAGAAGTGGAGAAGAAGCATATTGGTACCAATCTACAAGAACAAGGGAGATATCCAAAGTTGTACTAATTATCGGGGAATTAAGTTGATGAGCCACACGATGAAGTTATGGGAGAGTCATCGAGTAGCGCCTGCGAGCAACGACGCAGATATCAACAAACCAATTTGGTTTCATGCCTAGAAGGTCAACCACAGAAGCAATCTTCTTAATAAGACAGGTTATGGAGCGGTTTAGAGAGCAGAAGAAGGACCTCCACTTAGTTTTCATTGACTTGGAGAAGGCTTATGATAAGATACCAAAAAATGTTATGTGGTGGTCTTTGGACAAACATAAAGTCCCATCAAAGTACGTGACCCTCATCAAGGACATGTATAACAATGTTGTGACTAGTGTTCGAACAAACGATGGTAACACAGATTACTTCCCGATTAAAATTGGACTTCATCAAGGGTCAGCCTTAAGCCCATATCTCTTTGTCTTGGTAATGGATGAGGTTACCAGGAATATACAAGGGAATATCCCTTGGTGTATATTGTTCGCTGATGATATAGTGTTAGTGGATGAAAGCCAGGCGGGAGTAAATAGGAAACTAGAGTTATGGCGGCAGATCCTTGAGTCTAAAAGTTTTAGATTGAGCAGAACTAAAACCAAATACATGAGATGCGACTTTGGCAGAGTTGTACAGGAGGATGGAGATGTGAGTTTGGAAGGTCAAGTAGTGCCTAAGAAGGATACCTTTCGGTATCTGGGATTGATGCTACAGAGGGATGGAGATATTGATGCGGACGTTAGCCATAGAATCAAAACAGGGTGGATCAAGTGACGACAAGCTTCTAGCATTCTCTATGACAAGAGAGTACCACAAAAGCTCAAAGGCAAGTTCTATAGAACGGCGATTAGATTGGCTATGTTGTATGGAGCAGAATGTTGGCCTACAAAGATTCGACATGTTCAATAACTGAGTGTTGCAAAAATGTGTATGTTGCGATGGATTTGCGGTCACACAAGAATGGACCGAGTTCGGAACGATGATATACGTGATCGCCTAGAGGTAGCACCAATTGAAGAAAAGCTTGTCCAACATCGGTTGAGGTGGTTTGGCCATGTCCAAAGGAGACCTCCAGAGGCACCAGTACATTGTGAAGTCCTAAGCCAATCTAATAATATGAGGAGAGGTGGAGGAAGACCGAAATTGACATGGAAGATGCAATAAAAAGATATTTGAAAACTTGGGATATACCAAGAGATCTATGTTTGAATAGAGAGTATTCGAAAAACAGTTATTGAAGTGCCTGAACCATGACTTGGGACTCTTGATGGGTTTCAACTCTAGCCTACCCCAACTTGCTTTGGACTGAAAGGCTATGTTGTTGTTGTATACAGCCTGACAACTGTTCCTATAAAACAGCCTAGGCTTATCTGCTTTCATTTTCCTTTGCAGCGAAATTACCGGTACTTCTTCTGTTTTGTTTCTTCAGCGGCAGTGCTTTGTATCTATGTATGTGCAATGTGTGGATTGTACATCAGGCTTCTCATGAATAGGGGTCATTATTCGGTGGGGAAGGCCGTTAAAGAATCTCCAGCTTCATTGGCAGTCATGGCATATTGTTTCATTTGCTTCTGGTTCGTCGGTGGTCTCACTGGGTTCCATTCTTATCTTATTGCGACAAACAAGGTTAGCCCTCCAAGCAAATCTCAAGGCATAATTCCTAAAGCTTTTTTACCAAATAAAAAGAATGGTGGATAGGCTCAAGATATGTAACTGTAACCTACCATATTGAAAAAAACTGAACACAACAATACCACCAAAAATTTATCCTGATTTTTTTAGTTGGAAATTAAAAAAGTGGTGCATCAGTATGTACTATATACGCTACTTGCTAAACAACTACTGTTCTATTTTACTGAACAAATTTTTTTCTTCCTTTGTCTAAAGACAACCTATGAGAATAGCCTACACCCATATAGAAATCAGTCATATGCCTGATAGTCGTTATCTATTCTTTCTCAATGATAGTATTATTACCCGAAAACAATATGTAAAGAGGAAGCTAGTTTTGTACTCTAGTTCTGTCCCCAAGGCGCGAGTGAAGCCCTTCTCCAGTATGGTAAAGTGAAACCGCTTCGGAGTTTATGGTTCGAAAGAAAGAGAGGAAATCACTTATAAAGCGGTGGGCTCTTATAGTAAACAAGAGTTCCGTTGAGCTCTGGGACTCTAGGCAAGATAGCTGTAGTTTTGAAAACGTAAATTGACCGAAGTTTGTCTTTACTTTCCCCTATTCTACGTATACCATCTCCGAGCCTCTCGTTAAATCGAATCAATTTCTCAAGTTGGTCCTTGCTAGGCCAGTTAGAAGTTCCTGGGGATGTACAAGTACAGCAACCAACCAAACGTGTATGACCGTGGTTGTGTGCGCAACTGTCATGAGGTTTTGTGCACAAAAAGGAAGCCTTCTAAGATCAACTTAAGAGCTATTGTTCAAGAAGAACAAGAGGTAGCACAGCCACAGAACAGCCCTTCCAATGTACCAGAAGATGAGGCACACCACCGTCCCCGAGCCAAGGTTGAGGATGATCTAGAAATGGGTCTTGACATCCTCAAGACCACAGGGCGCAGGACAGAAGAACTCAGCGATGAAGAATTGGAGTCTGGAAGCACTGGTATTAAATATCGCACACCAGATTCAGAGACTGAGATTCCTGTTACCAGAACTAAGACAGAGATCTTTAGCGGACTTGTCGGTTAGTAATGCTGCACAACCTTCATCTCCTGAGCAAAAACAACACCCAGACGAACTTTGCTGATGGTATATGAATGTGCCTATTCTTGGAAAAGTTGGTCTCTCTGCATTTCCGTAGTGCAGACACCAAGTTATTCATCAGGGCTGTGAATGGTTGGATTTGAAGGCAGATGTCCTCCTTTGTCATCTGCTTTCACGATTTAGGCTGTTGCTTGATCAATCATAGGATTATGTGTGTAAAGATCCTCCAGTTTATGCGGTTTATGGAAGTTCTAAGAGATTCTAGGAATTGTTTGAGATTCTTCTGGTGTGTGAAGGCTGTTGATTCACAATTGTACATGATTTTCATAGCAATATGATCACTGAAATGTAAAATGTGTCCTCTCGGAATGGTACTGAGAATGGGCTGTTGCTGGTCTTTTTTAGAACCATACACATCATTTGGTAAATGCTCTATCTAAAACCTTGGTTGTCCAAAGAGTGGCAAATTGATTTATCGATGGTAAAAGAAACATATTTAAAGGCTGAAACAAGGTATTGAAACTTAATATCTGAACATTTTGCGTTACCAAGTTAGAGACATGAAAGTGTAATAAACAACTCCAGCTCATAACTACTGCCGATTCTTAGCTTTGAGCCTTTGACAAGTCACACTAAACGAACAAAGGACTGAATCAACACGGCAACAATCTACATGCATTCCTGTTCTTTATGAATAATCTATTCACAAGCCAGCTTGCTGTCGAAGCTGGTCAAACAGATGGTGAAGGCCTGGAATGCCGAGAGCGGGTACCGGTAGTCCATCGTGAACATGTCCTTGGCAACCTTACCAAACTGCAGGATCACTTTGTCATGATCCGATGCTGAAGATGAATTCGAAGGCTGGGTTTGCTGCTGAGCTTGCTGTGACGATTCAGAATCTAGTTGTGGTGCAGCTATCAACTGGAAGTTCTTCACAGAAGCCACGGTCACCCGACCACGGAAGTTGAGGCACCAACACTGCAGCTGCTCGTGCCACCTTGGTTCCTTATTGCGGAGAACCAAAGGCCTCTCCTTACCCTGGCCACTGTCCTCATCTTGCTGAGCCAATCCGCTTATCTCTGAGAAGCGCGAGGAGCTGAAGTCCAAGGAGCGGTCTGTAACCGAGAACCTTGAGCTGGACGAGGTGTTTGCACTGCGAAAGGATTCTCCAAAGGAAGATGAGCCAGGGATGAAGAGCTGCTTGGGCTGGCCAGGCACCATGCCTTCAGGGTCTAGCGCTGAGGCTGGGATGGAATGCATCGTGCAATTCATACGCCTGGGCCCCCTTGTGCCAAGCAGGTTTAGCTCATAGTTCACCCGGGCAATGGGGTAGCTAGCAGTGGGTACTTTGGGGGAAACCCTCCTAGAGGAGATTCTGCGGCTCCCGCGCTCACACGAGACAAGGCTACCAGCATTGTGTGGTGTTTGAGTGTCATACACGATGAATTTAGTGCCAAGAAAATTTGACCTGTTGACACAACAATGTCAGGTCCAAACAGAAAACACCGCCCAAAACTCAGATAATTGAGGTTAGATAGAAATAGTGTAGTCAAGCAAGATACTTCACCTCATTTTTCCATCATAGCCATTACTTGATCGTGATATATTTTTACGATCCACAGAAATGATGTACTCAGTATATGTTGTATGGCGATTCCTCTTAGCTGCTAGCAGAAATTTCCCATCCTCGCTGAGGACAGCTAAAACCCAAACCATCAAAGCATTAAGCAAAGTTATTTGTGATAACAGTTTATCCGATCTCACTAAGGGTATCAAAGAGTAAGTCAATCCTTCTTTAATTTACTATCGTCATCAATGTTAGATCACTGACACGAAGCACTAATAGAACAAGAAACTGTATATTTGTAAGCATCATGGCACGCACAAAATTGTAAGTTTTTCTAGTATCAGTTATATCTTTTGCATTCCAAAAACTCCTCTTGTTACAGGGGGTAGTGGGAAACAAAATCTGGTACTGCTCTATTTCTAGGTCACTTTGTTCATATCTAATACTCCTGAATTTCAAAGGACTGAAACATACCCCAAAAGCCACAGGAAGCAACACATTTGGTTCTCAACCAAATCTGATTTGGAAAATCACTAGAGCAAAGGCGTGCTATGGAATTAACTTAAACGTTTTCCCGTATTCATATAAGGTGACAATACAATATAGTTTCAGTTTCATGAAAAACTTCCAAATTTACATGGGATCGTTCAGAAGGATATTAATGAGAAAAACAGAGTGCAGGCTTTATACTTACCAGGGCTAAGACATAGGTAAAGATAATAAGTTGACGTTGATTTGTCCCTTTTTATAAAACACTGGATTATTCCATCTCTTGGTCCCGGCTACACATGAAAAAACAAAGTTAGATGGGTGCAAACATTTGTTGGTGGACATATATATTATACTGCAGAAACTGATCTCTACTTCTCAATTGCAAGAGCCAAAATTGCTACAAGTCTGTACTTGATCATTGTAACCATGGTTTTTTAGGTGTTGTGGCATCCTGTGGTGTTGGGGTGATACGGCGTGGGCGATGAGGAGTATGCAGGGGAGAGTGGAGCAGGAGCTGGGACTGAGAATGAGAGTGCAAGGGGCAGCGAGGCAAAGGAGCAGTGGGTTCGTCGCCGGTGGCCACGGCTGATGGCCGGCGGTCACCGTCGAAGGAAAAAACCCGCCCACTTTGGGAGGTCTATTTCCTTCGATAAAACCTCATTACACAACTACGGTGCCCTTATAGATTCGGTGCACATTACTAATAATAGTAATTCAATCTCCTATAGCCACTCCGTGAGACTTCTTCCTAACCAGTCTGATGGCCGTGCAAGCAGTGCATGCTCCCTGAGGACCTGCGCCTTCGTTTCTTAGCCACGAGTTGGGTCAAGAGCTGACGCAGGTGGACGGCATGGCCGCCTCCTATATTGGGGCCAAGTGAAAGAGTCCACAATCTTGTGGTGGGGCCACACCTGGACATCTGGGTGATGCCTCAAAAAACAAGATTGCAACAACCATCATTCCTATTTGCCACTTGACCAATAGACGCACAAAAAAGCTAACTAGATTAAATGATTTCTCCTGGGCTAACCACTAGGAGAATGGGGGCTTGGGTGAGGTGATTTTTCATTAAGAAAAAATGGGAAACTATGCATGGAGAAGCATGTACTGACAAGTATTTTGTAAACACATAGAGTGGTCAATAATATCAGGTATATGCAAACTGGAGCATATTGATTCCTAATATTTTCGGCAGCACAATCATTTATTTATTCCAACTGTTTGAGAGTATAAGTAATTGAGTAACACAAAAACAGTAGCTGCAAAATCGATATTCAATAACAGAGGTCTGCAACTTTCCACCCCTGGTAATAGAATTCAATTGTTACCTGTTTAAGTGATACTGGAAAAGTGAGCTTCCCGCAAAACTCCGGACTCAGCACTATATCCTTGCATATCTCTCTCCATGTTCCACAGACTGCTGCACAAGCAACAACATTTTTTCGGGATGGCCAATTGCTCTCCCCTTCCTCAAGCCTTTTCATTACATCTCGGAGCAATTCAGGAGGAAGACCAACCCACCTGCTTTGATCAACTACTACAGGTCTGTCGCTCAGAGATCCAACAGATTTCCCTCTATGATGACCAGACAGACCAGGCAAACCGGAAATCCTGACCTCAAAGCTCCGTCTTGATAAGCTACCAAAGCTTTCCCTAACATCGCGGACTATGCTGCGAAAGGACATGTCCAGTAGAAAAGGTACAATAACCAGAAATCCACCGAATCTCTTGTGGTGATCAAGATCTTCAAAGCAAGTCTGCTAGCAACTGAACAGAGTATGCAAATGACAAAGCATTAGTAACTCCTGGCCTTATACAATACACTAAAAGAAACAAATCAAAAAGCACTGCCAACACAATATCGTGGCTGTGCCTTATCTTTTCTATCAGCCGCAGCCTTCTTTGGTTTATAAACCATGTCAGCATCATGCTCAAAGAAAAGTATTCAACCAAACAGGAAGAATAGCATGCACTACAAACTAAGCAACCACTAAGGAAGACTATTAGGGGATTAGAGCATATCTAAGTCAAGCTCATCGTTGAGAATACAATTCCCACTTGAATAGTGAATAGTCTAACAGCATCTATAAAGTCAATAACCAGTTCTTGATTCACACTTAGCACAAGATGATGGCAACATGGGCAACCAACCCCATCCCCTCTGATGGGGAAAGGACAACGGAACACAGCATTAATTTAAGGCCTAACTGATTCATTGCGCAGGATGAATTTTGACCCCCTTTATTGCAGGCGGAGAGCAGAATTTGACATTATTTCAGCACATTCGAAGAGTTCTACTTGGAATTAAGCATTGAAGATTTTCTTCGCAGTTGGAGAAATGGAAAAACAAAAATAATGGAAACATTTTATTTATTTCCGCAGGAGTTAGCACAGAACATATGTTGTTAGCGTTCAGCAGCTCGAGCTGAGGTGTGGCAAGGCAAGAAACGTAAGGCGAGAGGAGAGGACCGGAACCGGACTAGGAATTCCTGGGCGGGCAACTCCAATTACTAAAATCAGATGAAAAATTCGCAGCTTCGATGGTACTAGTGAAGGACGAAGAAGAAGAAGGGACATGAATCTTACCTTATGGACACCGCGGTCGTCGACCTGCTCGGGAATTTCAAACCGAATCTGCGAAAAAGATCCGACTTTCACACGCAGAGAAGATGCTTTTCTGCAAGGGAGATGAGCAAAAGTTTTGCCCCCTGGATTCAAAGCTCTGTGCTCCGAATTCCTGGAGGATTTGTCGCCTTTCAGCCTTGAAAAAAAAATGGAGCGAGCTTTTGAGCAACAGGAAGGATACAGGACAAGCCCAAATCGCAGAGGAACAGGGGTAGCTTCGATCTGGTGCGGGGAAGAAGAGGAGGGGGAGATTGAGGGACAGATCACAGCACAAATGGGGTGAGGGAGGGGAGGGGAGCATAGGGATAGGATAGGAAAGGGGAAATGAGGAACGCGGGAGGAACTCAGGAACAGTGTTGTTGGGACTCCCGAAACAAAGAAAGGAGGGGACACGTGATTAAGTACTAGACAGAATAATGTTTTGAACCTTCTTGCTTTTACTTGCTCCATCCACTTACTAACGATGTTTACAGAAATGCTTTAAAAATGGCTTTAGTATTAGGACATTTGGATTTCTTTTTTTCTTTCTTCCACTCTCTAAGTGGGTTTTCCAAATTATCATTTTCACTTGGTTTGTCTAGAATGCCAGTTTTTTTTAACAAATTACACAGTGCAGACATAGACACTCACAACACGCTCACACTCACACATCCTTATAAGCATCTTCGAAAGACTAGGTCAATATATCTTGATATTAATGAAGTCACTAGTAGGAAGATAAACGAGTTTATTCGTGAATCAGTAAATAGGTTTAATTTTTGCACGTTACATCATTAAAGCTCAAGTCTCTATGGATTTGTAGATAAACCCGCTTATATCTCTTTATGATTGTTATCTTAACATTGCTAAACTATTTTGTCGTGGCTGCAAGTGACATATTCTTCTATCTTCCCACCTTTTTTTTATTTGCCGTGCCCTATCTTGCGTCTTGCCACAGTCCTCGGCTCAGTCAGTGACTAGTGACTCAACCAGCTGACAACCACCGAGAGCCTCCACTGGCACGCGTTCCTCGTCTAAGAGCATGTCCAAGAGGTTTTTTAAATTGCACTCTATAAATTATCATTTAAAGAGTTATTTATATAAAAATTATTTTTATATCTTTTCACTCTCCAACAGTTTTCTATATCTAATACACACTCTAGAAAGTCATTTTCGTCTTCTATATTTGCCTAGTAAAAAATCCGAAATAAAAGATTGTTATATTTGGATGACCATTTAGATAAGCCGTTGGAAGATAGTTTTCACCAAAATCTCTATTCCTAGCATTTAGGAAGGATATGGAGAGTCTCTTAGAGATGCTCCAAGTCTCCCTAACTATTAGGTGGGAAAGCAGTACTAAAAAAAATCATGTACCGGTTGATATCATTTTTGGTGTTACCATGGATCTTCAACAGTTTCGAAGAGATAGCATTTAGAAGAGCAGAGCATGATAAACTAGGGAATTTTTTTTACAATAGCACATGTTTCATTAAGGGACCATTTGCAGGGATCTTTGGAACCATGAGAATCACTCCTCTCTAACCAAATAGCTAAATCTAGCACACGGATTTAAATGGGGGGCAAGTAAGAATCACTTCTTCATTTACACGAGGAGTTGGGAGCTATGTTCTCCACTGCTCCATGTTCAAAATGGACAACAAGAATCACTCTAGAATCAATTCTCATCTACTCCTCACCCTACTCCTCCATCACGATTAAGTAGAATCACTCCACTACATAATCAAGGAGTAGAGCCAGAGAATCTAGGAGTGAAGCTCTGCCAAATAGGCCCTAAGAGGAAGAGAATTACATGACACAGCTATGAGAGACCCCCTCCGTAGCACATATTGCAAACCACCAAGTTAGTGGTAAGCGACCTGAAACAAACCAAAGTAGCAAGAAAAAGAAGAAGCAAATGGACCACCATCAACCTTAAAACCCTACCAGAGTGAGCCTATGAGAGGAATAATCACCAACGTAATGGTTGCCTATATAGGAGACAAAGCTGCGGTGGCAAAGCATCCACCCAAAATGAGACAAGCATAAGCATCCAACAACATCGGCGACAAAGCATCTGCCAAAGAAAATCAAAGCAACCTCGATAGCAAAGCATCCATAAGGAGAGGGCCAATGCACTCTCGCTAGCAACCGCCAGAGGGCGGACCAAAGAGACATCAGTAGAAAACACATCCGTCAGAGAATCCAACGGCAGCAAAGCAACCGCTATGGAAGTCAAACGACTGCGGCAGTCGATCGCTTTAGCGGGACAGACCACTTCAAAAAAAAAGTATATGAGGCACACATGGGCAAATTTGGGAGCAAATCCTACGAGAGAAGCAATAGAGAAAGTGGAGGCATGGGTGTAGGAGTACTTCAACAACGCCTTCAAGAAGGACAGTGACATCACACATGCCACCATCATTAATCGAAGTAGCAACCACAGAATCTTCAAAAACGACAGCTCCAAGGAGGTAGATGATGTAGGCTATGCTACCATCGTCAACTCTAAGAAAAAAGCCGAGCAGGGTTTTCACGCAGATTCTAAGTGTCCACACCAGCACGACGCCGGCTAACCACGGCCGCTGCCGCTTCCTGAAGGCTTGACGGGAGCATAGTGTTGCAGAGAGCTACCATCAAGAAGCAGTGAGAATACGAGCACCCAGGCCATGTCGGCCAATGCCGCACATATGCCACCAACTCGATCACACCGAGCCTAGGGGTTCGTCGGCTCGAGCTGGTCACGGACTGACACAGCCACACGCACAACATGCTACCTAGTGACGCGACCAAGCCAGTCAACAATGTCGTTGCACCCGCAGTTGTCGTCTCTGCACGTGCACCTGCCCGCTGGTTGCTGCACGCACAGGCCACCTCCGCGCCACCACTCATGAGCCTACCTCGGAGGCACCAAAGCCCATCAAAACCAGCGAGCTCTTGTAGATCTGGCCCGAGGGAAACCATATCCAACCACTGGCATGCTAGATCAGCCACTAGGAGGGGCACCACCGTCGAGGCGCAAGGAGCTCAGAGTATCTCAAGAGTTCCCAAATATTTGTTCTAAAAACCATTAAGTGTTCGAAGTCACCAAAAAGTATTGGGAGAACCAAAGAAGAGTTTCTACAACAGTTTCCAAAAAATCACTCCTAAAGCCTTAATTATTTACTAGTTCGATTATTAATCACGTCGAAAATACTGTAGTGCACAAATTGTCAAGAGACAGAAAAAAGAATGGTGCAATGTGTGGTTCCTAGCAAGAGAGAGTCCCGATGAACGCCAGCGACGTGTTCCAGATGGCGTCGAAGAAGGCGGCGGCGTCGAAGCGCGGCGGATCACAACCGTCATAGCGCCACCGCCAATGTAGGAAACCGCAGTCTGAACGGCCGTACTTCATGCAATCCTGGAGCTCCCGAATGAACGGGCAGGTGAGATTGGTGTAGTACATCGCGTCATCGTCAGGACCTACTCGCCCCGCCGGCCGGCCAAAAGATGTCGCAACCACTAGGCGCCCAGGCGTCGGTAGGGAGGGCTCTATGGTGAGGGTGTGGACGGAGAAGAAGGCAGGGAGACACCGGAGTGGTACGCGTCAAGGAGGGAATACATGCGGTGCGCCGTGGCAAGGAAGAGAAGGGCGACAATGGCGAGTGCCGACAGCGACTCCGCAGTTGGGGTGATGACAAGCTGAAGCGATACGCATCGAGGAAGGAACACTCTCCCAAAGCAGGATATGCGTGACCGCAAGTGCACGTATTTTTCCGTGTGGGGGGCTTGTTTTTTCAAGTGCCAAAAGGTCGGGGGTGGGGATTGGGAGTTATTGGAGATGTGTTTTTCTTTAATCTTGCTAAAGTCCTAGATTGGGAAAGTATTTTGGGAACTCTTGGAGATGCTCTCACGACCACGATTTCCACCGAGTTGGACACAGATAATAGGGAAAGGATGGTAGGGGTGTAATCGTACAAAGTGGTAAAGTAGCATGTTGGGAAGGAATAAGATGGTAAGTTAGCAAACTGACATTTAGGGTGGCAATACACGAAATGTTATTGGACAATACCACTAGAAGTGTGAATAACAAATTCTAAATTTC